AGCCGAAAGGGATACATCAGGACACTGCCGCCGCTATGACTTTAAGATGTGTCCTTCTTATCTTTGAGGTTGCATCAAACGATGAGGGTTAAGCCCAGACCTTTCAGAGGCAATCAATCAATAATTGGCTTGGATAAGTTGGGGGTTATCAGCTGCATTGCCTGACCTTTCCACGAGGGTTGTAACAGCGGTTTGGTCAAATGTTACCATATGCGATCAAAATATCCGACAAGGTAAAATGGGCGTCCTCCAAGAATAGATAAAAGTGGATGTTTGTGAAAGCAGGAAAGTTGAGCCGGTTAAAAGAATAATGATGGGGTTACTTAATTCTGATTCCGGCCTACCGATGTTTCAGAAAGTGTAAGACTAAGAACAAACGTGGCTCAGAATGGCTAACTTCATCCGATAGCACATATTCAAGAATATTTATTGATTTCACAAACCCATTTCCCGGTGATTTTGAACGTCACGGCGTAGGTGTGGAAAAAATAATAGTTGCTAAAGGTAACTTGCTTCATTTAACAGGCTCATTAAATGTAGTGCATTAAAATATAATGTTGTTGAGTACGGCTGCCAGTAGGTGTAGCACTCCAGTTTCTACAGTTGAGTGGCCTGGCCACATAAAAGCTGGGCTACTATAGGCGGGCAACCTGTTGAGAGCTCAGTAAACTATCTTCACTGGAGTATGAAAAACTGTCACCTGCGCGAGTGAGTTCAGGGTACTTTTCGGGAGCGAATGAAATGTCCGCCACCGTTATGTGGGCAGAAAGTCGGCGTTAAAATAGCGTTCAAATCCCAGTCCAGTTCAGTATTAGCACAGATTGGGTAGCTGTGGTAAACAAGAGGGTTTCCGGAGTCGCAAGTATATAAATTCTTTCCTAGACTTACTGTAGACAGTAGACGCCCAGTGGTTCAAGATCCGATTACTTACAACGTAATGTAACATTTTTGAAGTATTTTTTATGCAAGACAGGAGGGAGGTAATCGCTCACTGTTATATCTATCAACGCTGTTTTTATTATAATTTAGAATGCTCTCTGTCCAGTAGCTGGGCAGGTGTAGAGAGGACAGGCCCAGAGTAATGCTGAGAGGACACTTCAGAAATCTGGGTTCAGGAAGGACCAGACGTTTGCTGTTTAGACTTGAAAATGCTGTGAATTAGATATCGACTCAGGCAAAGTTGGTACGGTTGCACATTCGTTACTTATTCCTCGAAATTGACCAGCCGAGTTGGGCTGGATCAAAATATGATCTAGAGCCCAGCTAGTGATCAGTATGCACAGTTAGTCTCTGGTGCGACTTCCTTCAAGGGTTTAAGTTTAGCGTTGAGGAGCAAAACAATATGCATATAGACCTTCTTGGAATCAGCTTGGTAAATAAACACTTTCAAGCGACTTCCGTTTTGCCAAACCGTTACCGGCTGTGGTGATATATCGTTCAACTTGAGAGTCCACGTTTACCAAAGCGATGTGTTTTCGGGTTTTAGATCGTCCTGGCAGGGGCATTTATGGCTCACTCATCCGTGCCGGCATTCAGTATGGAAAAGAAAGCAAATCTCCATCTTCTAATAACCAAGAGGATATGTCCGGACCAGTCTCCTCGTTTTGGCGTTTAATAGAAATATTCGCATATACGATTAGTTTTTATACCGGTCATTCTGCTGGTTAATTCCAAAATATCCCTTGAAGTTCCTTTTACTGAATATGAATCAGTAGGTACCGGCAAGGTCGGAGGTCTGATTAGGCGTATTTAATTAATCTAAGTGTACTCTAATGAAACAGAGCTGTGCATTCGCCTCGAAAACCTTAAACCCTAGTTCTGGTGATCAGACATGGGGAGGGAGGCATCGACATCGCCGAAAACTATGGGTTCAAAGGGCCAACCGCCACCGCCACAACGACAATCATCGCCTCCTTATTCTGTGAACTTACAACGTCTGTTGTATACGTAGCCATACTGAAAAGATGAAAGCAATGCAGACAACCGGATAGAATCCCAGACTTGCAATGCGCATATTTTCAGCCTACCATGAGAATTTGTTGCTAAGTGACCAGCTGAAGTCGGATTAAGTTTTGCAGTTAAATTACTTACCCATACAACCGTAAATGTAGACACTCATGGTGACCACGTGCATCATTTTGTCCAGACGTTTCTGGAAGTTGTTATCAGGCATGCTCTTTCTCAGGGCTGGCTCAAAGACGCTCAGATAAGCCGGAAGGGAAAATTGGTACATGGGATTGACCACCGCCAGGTCAGAGAGGACGAAGAAGAGGATGGCTCCGCGCCTGGCAACTGGTCGGTAGGCGTCACGCAACTTTTCCACATCTACTGCTGTAGTTGCGGCAAGTTTCAGTTTCTCAGAGACATCAGTCACCTTCTTTTTCGTTTCCTCCATGGTATTTACCAAGTCCATATTGTCCAGCATGTTGCCAGTACTTGTGGCTAATTCTCGAAGGAGAGTGTCTTCAAGGTCCTTTAACAGTTGCTTGTTCTCGCTTAAAAGGACAACAAGGGGGCAGGTTTGGAGGGCATTATAAGCTTTGTATTCTGCATGTCGGCAGAACTTTTTCGACTGCCATTCTTGTTTAAATATACCACCATCTGATGACGCTCAATGAGGCAGAAAAGGCCTTAGTGATCTACTCTGTGTTTGTCGGTAAAATAAAATTGATACTATCAAACTATCATGCGCTTTTCAAATACCAATGCTTACGGGAAGGAGTTAAAAATTGAATATGTAAAACTTCCGTTAGCCTTTTCATCCCATTACATCCGAAGAAAATTCAGCCCTTTCATTTACATATCCTAAAAAACAAGGGCACTGTACTGCGCCATATCATATATTGTGCTGAATATCAACTGTTCTGACCTTTCGATAAGCAGTAGTGTATCTCTGCATAACCGGGGTAACTTGAGTGGCCGCCATCAACAAGAAGTGTGAATAAGAATGTATTGTGTGCATCAAATTGCAGGAAGAGCAAATATCCCCGTAACTTAACCCTAACACTAATCTTAATCACAATCCTCATCTTAACACTAGTCCTTACGTTAACTCTAGCCCTGCCCTTACTCTACACCTAACCCTCTAATTCATAACCTACTCTACCCGGAATTTAGTACGAAGCCATCTGCATTAAGTACGTGTAATGTTCCAACGTCCTGCCGCGGGGCCATATAAGTAATATCTTCACTCTCCATGGAACGTCAAAGAAAGTGGACGATAAATCTCCCATTCATGTTGCCCTGAATGGTTTCGACAGCAGATGATAGAGTGTGAGTTCAGGCCTCAATGGTAGAACATTTTTAGAGACCAGTTGAACCGGTATGCAGACCTCAAGCTTGACCGCTGGTGTATGGCTGGATGCCGTCGCCAATAACCCACTGTTTGGCATTCTTATTGCTCCTGTTTATTTCCCTGATAGCCCTCAGTTGCAGTTTGACATTTTATCCAAATGTTTGACTTTTCGATTTGATGGCAAACTGACAACTCATGCTTGTTTGACTGGCGTTTTAACTTTCCCATAATGGGGTGGGCCTTCTAAGCTTACTAACGTGAGAAAAAAAGACTACTCAGTCGAATTTGACAACGAAGCGCTGGATCTGAGGTATTTCCCCTTAGCATTCATAGCCGACTACGTCGACCTCATTGCTCCTCTTTTAACAATTTCCCATTCTTGGTTTCGTTTCCGATGTCCTTTACCTCTTAAACCCGGCTCCAAATGAAACCATCAATTTAAAAAATCTGCGAATAGTGAACGTGGTCGCCGTGAAAATAATTCTGTATAATGCAATAGTTTAATCCAAATAATAGGGAAGCTGTCTCTCGTATAAAGGGTTTTGACTTTTCGTCTAAGCTCAATGTTCGTACCTAGCCTGAAAACGTTTGTTCCGAAAGATGTATCCCAGGTTCACGCATTACTTCCCACGGGAATTACACAAAACAGTTCCTATTTTTTTAACGGAATTTAGACCGACTAAGAAAAAGCCAAAAAAGGCGGTCGGTTAAATACGACGCTTCCTCCTAACCTTGTTTTGAGAATCAGTCGTTCTCGTTGTTCCTCGAGGGCCTGACGTTCATGTTTGACAATGACACTGAGAAGTTGATCCTCAAGACCCTTCAGAGTGACAGTACAATTAATGATTATTGCACTGCCAAAAATGTTCGGACCATATTTCGGATTAGGCAATTTGGTATTCAAGTACAAACGGAAATTCGGATCGAAGTCGACTTCTTTGTCCCCCAATACGACAACTTGACGATTCTAAAATAGAAAAATAACATACGTTATGTCTGACTGACACAGTATTACAAGTAATTTGAACTACTATACGTTCTCCTTATCATCGCAAGAAGGAGAGTTGCTGTTCTACTTCGCTGTTCAAACAGTGAGAATGAACTATAGGACCCAGGATTGAATTCCCTCCTAGTATTCGACAGAAAGCATCGCCGACAAAGACAAAGGAGACTGGATTGGCCATTTCTGGTTTATTAGTCGTCGTCAGCCAGTCATATCCAGCCCCAAGCGGTGCCCCACCCGAGGCTCGAACTCGCGGCTTTTTTGATCAGAGTCTAACGCCCGAACCATTAAGCCGCGAGTTCATTGTCTTGCCGGCTTAGATCGGCAATACTCTGCCTAAACTACTAGTCGCTACGGCTACTGTCAGGGTCCGAGAAATGAGGCCCAAGGCAGAGCGGGACAAGTGAGTTCCGTTAGCGTTCGGTGAACGTTAATCAACGAGTATTAAGTATTCCTTTAACTGTCAGTCGGCAGCTAGTAGTATGAATTTGGATTGCACGAACACCGCACCGGCAGCACAGGTACCAGTTAAAAACCAACTATTCGTATAAAAGTTCGGTCTGCGCCCCATAGACCATAAAATACATGAATTACTCCAAATTAGTGATTCTGAAGAAATTACAAATCTACAGGTCAAGGAAACGTTTAAATGAACTAAATTATTCGAAGAGGGCTACTGTGAGGTGGATTCCTATTATCTAACCACAGCGTTTTCATAAACCTCAAAAAGCAAGCGCTCCCAACATAAGCCCGCGGGAATCGAAAGGACTTAGGACTAATTGAAGAAATTTTACATAGAATAAAAATGAATGCAGTGGAACGAGTTTAATCTGTTCCGGCACCGAAATCGTCACGTGAAACGCTCGTTTTGCAAAACCTAGCCAATCAAAATGCACCAGTTCACTGATTGGCTGCAGTCGACCGAAGACCCACGCCCTGGGATAAAAACTAAACGGTGGACATAGGCACACACACACACACACGCAGGGATAACTCGACAACTGAGCGGAAGCTCGTCAGTCGGAACAAACTGTTTGATAGTAGCTCGCTCATGACCTGAAATGCACGTAAATGGGGCTGCTTGTCACCCGAGGCTACACTGTATGCATAAATGGAACTGAGCTGCAATATCAAGCTACTTTATGAGGCGTTGTGTTTACCTGGTCGCCCAGAATGTTCTTCTCAAGAATATTATTGATCACGGGGTCAATGAATTCCTCAACATCTTGTAAGAGGAACGGGATTCCGTACTTTATTGCTAATTCAAGTTGCTTCAGGAAGTCCGGATCGCTGAAGGTGGCAACCTTCAAGTTGTTGGGTGTCTCCATTGTTTTGATCCACTTAAGGGCTTGCTGCTGAGGATCAATACAAATCGGGAAGCGAGAGGCCTTGGTTGTAAGAATACCATTCTGAGTACTCAGCTCATCGGGTGGCAAACCCTCACTGTTCCACCGAGAGACAGTTACATCGTCTGTTAGGAGACTCTGAAGACGAAAACCACTCGTGATCGGAATCTCGCGCGTTTGCGCGTCTACGCACCAGTCCTCATAGATCATACGGTGTCTGTAGTCCGAGGAGAACGCACCGGCGTAGCTGAGAAAAGCGGCTGAGACAAGACAGTCGCCCAGAAGGACAGGTCGACATTCCTTCAGGCTGATTAGGTCATTCTTCCAACGCACCGACTCAGAGGCCAGTCCGCTGATGAGTGTTGCGGCAGCCTTTAGGCGCCGTTCCATCAGTTCCGTTTCCTCTTGTAATTTCTGCCGTTGGTCCACTGCATTTCGGTAGTTGACAGAGAGCTTCTTCAGCTCCGCCTCTAGTTTACCGACCTCTTTATTGATCTGCTCTAGGTCAGATTTTGTCTAAAGGGAGCAAAAGGGCGTATAATGCAAGAGCGATCTCAGGAATGATATCAGAGCACCAGATTGGTCAATAAAGAATGTCCACTTTTGCTTCTACAAGTGACCCTGCAGGGTGTGATTGTGCGCAAACGGCCCGTGTGCATAATTCTGATATTGGTCGAAAGAGCACATCTTAAAAACTTGGATCTGGGAGATTTCTGGCTCGGTTCTCCCTATATCAATGGATCAGCCAGCAGTCATGACGTTTTCCGAATATTGTGAGGTAAATGCCAAAGCACATACGGAAACTCGAGTTCTAGCTGCATCCTTGGAGTATGCAAAGTGCAGCTGCGCCTTTCTAAATGCTTCGAGTTGTAAGTTTGTTTAGTAAGTAATGCAGTTCCGAGAAGTCTATGTCCTCAAAGAGTTAAGTGGATATAGAGTAAAATGGAGCGAAACCTGGAAAAGAATGTCCATTGGTATTATGCCTGAAAAAGTGCACGACCTAAAACACTTACGCACTCTAGGGTCCGCATTAGATACTCTGAAAGTATCAGCGTTTGGCTCAACTCGATCGCATCCTGGACGAACGGGCATGCTTATGCCAATCCCCTAGGAAGGGGCTGACCATCGCGAAAGAAAAATGCAGAATGCAAACAAGTCCTTAACCATCCTAAACATTTGCACTTTCCGACTGAGAATAACTCATGAGGCATCCGGCTATGCTTGCTTTTGCGTCTAACACGGGCTCAAATATATGGCCCGTCGTACCAGGTGTGATCTCACGAAAAAGATATACGGAGAATGGTGTGAATAAAAAGGTTCGTCGCACAGGCGACCGCTGCGGCCCCAACTGTGGTTTGGACTGAAAAAGGGAATAAAGGTAGGGGAAAAATTATTGTCCAAGCAGGAACCAGTGATCTCTTAGCAAAGATTCCTCCCCGAGGCGAAATTCCATCAGATTGCTTAAAAACTAATTTCCGGCATTAAAGAGCAACATTATATGGCGGGCATATACATGAAAACAGCAGAAGCTGAAAGGTGCCTATCTGTGGGTTCTCCATAGTCATTAGCTGGCCATGTCCCCATTTCCGGCTGCGGGGAACGAGGATTAAAAACAAAGTGGATCGCAGAAATAATACAGTACTGATGCACTCAGGAGTACAGTCTTTCAGTCTGGAAACCTTTTTAATACTAAAGACAAAGCTGCATACTTGCCTGGTCTTAAAAGCGCTAAGCAAACTTCGAACTCAATCACAAAGAGGCTAGACGCTTACAGTTATGCTCACAGTTCCGTTATCTCTCTATGGTGCTAGGTCCTCTATATTCTTATGACTGTCAACAATCTGTGAGACTCTCATCATTTGAGTTGACAAAAGTCTTGAAACCAAATGTCTACTCCGAAACATTTTTGAATAATCATCATTTATAGCAAATTATTATCTCTTGATCAGCATAAGAAATAAACCTTGGCTAAAAATGCCTATAGATGTAAGCTCGTAGTTGTTTAGTTTTAGAAAAGTTAGTTGAACATCTTTGTGTTGACAACGCTTAATGCAAGTTCACGTACACTAGCCACATGACGTTATAGTTCCTATCTAGCCTATGCATGCAACCTTGTCAGGACGTAAACAGTGGCGAAGGAATATGGCATGCAAGATATAATGAACCTCTGCTCCTATGAGATACCCTAGGGTCAAAAAAGAATGGTCCGCCACAGGATGTTTACCTGATGGAAGTGCTTCTCAAGCCTCGCCACTTTGTCGCGCTTCGGTTTGACTTCCCTTGCCACAGAACAGTAACCGAGGACGGCGTTGACAAACTTCAAGAGACCGGCACCAGCCCGACTCACCTGACGCATCTCGTCAAGGGTGACCTTGGACCTTTCAAGATAATCTACATGAGAAAGTGAGTGAAGTAAGTCAGCCAAATCGGGTTAAAGGTGGCAGGTTAATAGAAGGTACTCAGTTCATCATCACAACACGCATTTACCCTTTACGACAGCCGTCTGTTTGGCGGTAATGCCATCTACATCCATGGTTTGCAGGGATTGCAGGAAACTGGTGTCAGCCATCATGCCCTTGGCAGTCTTCCAGGAGATCTCCTTGTAACCTTTAAACACACAAATACACTCGGAGATCACTTGAACTGGTCTCGGCGGTTTTGCAAAAGATCGTATTTCTGTGACGTCAGACTTCTCCAGGTCGTCCAGCGCGAGTCTTGCCTGTTCCAGTGCTGGAATAGCATTAGCAAGTGCCGTCTCGGCTTCTTTCTATAAAAAAGAGGAATGGAACAAAGGATATGCACTAAGGTGAATACCACACCATCTTCCAGAACAATGAGACTTAGTAAAAAGCCAGATGAAGGGCTGGCGTGTGTGGCAGGGAGAGGGAACCAAGCACAAAAAGAAAGGGACGTTAAAATTAACTAATTTCAGTTGACACAGTTGTGAAAAATTTGCGGCCTCTGTGGGCTTCGAATCCACTCCAACGAGGAAAGGTCTGAGTACAGCCAACGCTCTGTCAACTGAGCTATAAGGCCCCTACTCGGAGCCGTTAGTTTAATCACACGTGGATCGACTTGCCCGCCCAGCCTGGCAGTCGGCTTACTCTATCGGTATTGGTTGATTCCATACTTGTAGTAGGCTGGGCAGGCAAATCGACCCACATATGATTAAACTCACGGCTCCGAGTAGGGGCCTTGTAGCTCACTTGACAGAGCGTTGGCTGTGCTCAAGTCTCCCCCTGTTGACGTGGGTTCGAATCCCACGGAGGTCTCGAATTTTTCACAATTGGGTCATTTGAATTATTTAAAACTGTCACTCCCCCCTCCCCTAAAAATGAGCTAATTTATTTTCGAAATGCAGCAAGTAAATTGACTAAAAGCAGCAGAAAAGGAAGAAACTGTCCTGATCATATGTGTGGATTTAAGGTTGATGTTTAAGGAACTCTTTCATTTAAAAATGACTAGCTTCTAACAGTTTACATAAAACACCGGATTAGAGCAACGTAAGTTCAGGCCCCACAAGGGATTGAATGTTGGCGCCAATCTACGCTACACTGGTAGACAGTTTTTACAAAACTGCCGATTCCGCACCGTCTAGCCGGTTTGTATGAGTGAAAAGTATTCCGGGCAGTTTCGTACCTTTGAGTTGATCTAATTGTGAAAAAACTCGAGGAGTTCGGCGTGATTTGAACGCGCCTATTAGAGAAGGCCTTTACCGGAAGCCAACGCTCTAACCACTAAGCTACAAACGCCCCACCTCGAGCCATGAATTTAATCAAACTTGGGTCAATATTACCCGCCCAACTTTACCGCTCGTATGGAAGCCACCAATACGGAACAGTAAGCTGACTGCCCAAGCAGGATTTCCTAAGCAAT